TATATATATATATATACCAAAAGTTAAACAAATTTTTTTAGAGACAAAATAAAAAACAGGTATATTTCAAGGACCAAAAATATATTTAAATTTATATAATAATTGTGTTTAACTTTTATAATAACTACTTTAATTAAAAATTATACTAATTACCCATACTTGTCTTTTGTAACCCATGATGTATAAAATTAATCTAATAACAACTAAAAGCATACAATTTATGATATCGTGTTTGTTTTTGCATTAGATAACAACTAAAACTATCTCCAAATTACCTCATAAATAAGTTAATTTTAACTTTTTGAGAATTTTATTTTATTTTATTTTATTTTATTTTTTTATAACTTTTTATAAAAATAGTTCATCCAAACATAATCTTAAACATGTATTTGATAAATTCAGAAATTAGTAAAACACCCACTACAAGGAAATTGCCGTATAGTGACACACATCCTATAGTGACACAATAAGTGTCGCTAAAAACTACTTTTACCTACATAATAAATATAATATATGTTAGTATATTGTTAAAAAGTGTGAGTATAAGTTATAGTAACACACAAAATATGTTGTTAAATCTCATTCAAAATCAACACTAAAATTGTGTGTAACTATATACCAAATAGATATATACCTACATATAATATACTTATAGTGACACTTTTTGTATGTCACTATATGTAACATTTATTGTAGTGACCCTATATTAAGACTAATATTAAAATTAAATATTTCCTAATAACAGAAAATATGTTTGTCTATAAAAAATAACAGGTTGTGGAAGAAAACTGGGCCTAACCCAACACTAACCTGAAGAGGGGAACTGTTGAGGTTGTTGGCCCAATGATGTAATTTTGGAAGATTGGAGATTTAAACAAGCTTTTGATTTTCTGGTCACCTTTGAATCCAGTTGCAAAAATTACTACATCTGTTTCCAGGGGCTTAGCTTCTCCATCAATGATTATTCCTTCTTTGCAGAACCTAAAACTTTGTGATTTCTTTATAAGGATGGATCCTTCTTCTAGTTTGTCAAAAAAGTTATCAGGAAACACCCCAATCAGACATGAGGAGAGGTCTTGAAAAAAGCTATGATTAGGTACCAATCCATACTTTTTCAGTGGCAGCTTCCACTTTAGAGCAGTTTCAATAAGTTTTGAAATTCCCCATCTCTGAAAATTAAGATTGGAACTATAAACGAACATGCGGTTCTTTACTTATAAATTATAAGTATTAAGATACGTATATTTGGATAAATGTTGTTTTAGAAGTACTTTAAAAAAATTAAAAAGAAAATTAAGATAAAGTTTTCTAAAAAGAAAAATTTAGAGAAACTATAGAACAGAATTTGTACAAAATTTATAAAAAAAATTATTTCAGGTTTTTTTTTATCTTTCCTTTTTAGAAGTGTTAATAGAAAAAAGTATTAAAATGAACCGATTTGTCATTGAATATTATTATTACCAATGGTGAAAGTAAAGTGGCCAAAAGACAAAGTAGGAAGGATTCTCCTGGCTTGTGAACTAAAAGCTCTGCAAAGCGACTTAAGCATAGGTATCCAGCAATAACACCCCAAATGTTAAAATCTGGAACAAACCAGTGTGCTGTCCTTTGGATGATTGTGCAAGGATAGGTGATTCCTATAAAGAGATTAGTAGAATGAAGTATCAGAAGGGGAAAACTGAGATGAAAATATATTTTAAGAATATAAATTTGGATCTATTTTATTATGAGAATTCATCACTTATATTATTTTAGTCACATCATTGGTTGATAATGAGGACAAATCAAACAAATCCATGTGCAGATTGTGTAGAAAATTTCCAGCAAAAAATTCTCACCATTTGCATTTGCACATTCAGCTGCTATATCCAGACCAGATTTCTGTGAGCCAACGACTGTAACTCTTTTTCTTTTGATCAATTCAACAGCACTCTCACTGTCCAAATTGGAATAGTCCATGGAGTGCATAACTCTGCCATTGAAAACTTCTGGTCCTTGTCCAGGTGGGAATTCAGGAATGTTAGGAAAACCACTATGCTTCCCAATGCAAAGAATCACAAACTCTGCCTTATGCACCTGCTCATATAAATGTTCAATTTGGTATATTATTACTCTAAAGCAAAATTGCAAATTATGAAAGATTATAACAAACATGCTATTTATTTCATTATTTGAACTCAAACCCATCTTCCATATCATTCAAAAATTAAAATTAATGCACGTATATACTAATACCCACTACTTTTTGTTAGTGATCTGAAACAGAATATACTTAGCATACCAAAGTAATCAAACCATAAACACACACCTCTATGGAAAAATTCTTGGTATCTTGCACAGAAACATGCCAAGTTCCCTTGGAGCAGAAGGGTCTGCCATTACCACCCCACAATTCCCATGACTCCATTTCTTCACTAGACTTTCCAACATAATCTATGTCAATGACCTTGGAGTTGAATCTAATGTAAGGAATGAGGCCAAAATGTTGAGCATAGGAGTCAAGATAATCTATCACTTGCTTGTGACTTGGATTATCTTCTGTCACTGAAGAAGGCCATGGAAAATCTATAAAGTGGTACATTTTTTTATTGTTTTGGAGCTTTGTGGACTCCATAGTATGTCTCCATAGTCCTCCAACGCCATCATCAGCTTCAAAGACAATTGGTTTGAATCCAAACTCCAGAAGGTATTTGCAGGCCACAAGGCCACTGGTTCCTGCACCGATTATTGCAACCCTTCTTTCCATTTCAGAGTTGGAGACAACAATTGCAAGCAACTCTGGTAGTGGAAAGATTTCTCACAGAAGCAAATGCTTTAGATCAACATATATATATATAGTACTATTTATTATAAGAAATAAATTGGTTTTTTTTTTCTTTATTTCTAATTATAAGTAATAATTATAAAATTTTAAAGTTATTTAAGTTAAATTTCTTTTATATTTTTTTATTTATTGTTAATTTTATTTTATTTTTTGCATCCATTTACATTACTACAGTATAATTAACATGTAATATCACAACCATTTAAAGTAAAAAATATATTTAAAATAAACTTTGAATTTCTATAAATTAATTAAAAATAAATATATCAATTATTTTTTTATGATTTATCTTATATTACTTATAATTAATAGAAGAGGAAATAATAATTGATTTTTTTTTTTTAAATCTCACAAGTAACATTATTTCAGAAAATTCAAAAGTTAGAAATGTTGTGTAATATATGTATGACTAGCTAGTTTATCCAAAATCGTGTAAGGCCGGCAACAATTAAATGCTATTACACATTTGTCTTTATAAGAACCTTTTAACTTTATTATTAGTTCTTTTTTTTTTTATAGGATTATTTTTTTACATTAATTGTTTTTCTAATACATCTTTAATTAAGTAGCGACTTTTCTTAGATAAAGAACAATAAATGTTAAAATTAATGAGATAAATTTTATTCTCTGTCTTGTTTGGATTGAAATATATGAATAGACAACATTTTTAAATATTTATTAATTAAGTTAAAAACAATCACGTGGAAGTATGGTTATTTAAAAAAATGTTAAAGATAATTTTGTAAAAACAATAAAGATACTTTATTCAATAATTATGATAGGACTTTGTAATGGATTTCTGACTACATTTTTTTTATAAGGTCATCTTGTCTCTTCCTTCTTTGAGCTCATCTTTTGGAAGAATGCACTAAGAAAATAAAATATCAACAATAATATTCACATCGACTTTTTACACGGTTTTGCGTAAAGTATTGGATAAACAACACTGTCGTAGCCCTACTCTAATTTTTTTTTTTTAATTTCAATTCTTCGACAATAATCACAAATGTTTTTTAAATTATGGATACAAATTTAAATTTAATATATAATTTTAGTATTTAATCATAAATAAATTATTCTATTTGATGATGTAAATTAGTTTAAAAAAAGCTTATAAATACAAATATAAGTAAAATTTTTAATATAATAAAAGATAAATAATATATAAATCAATAGTATAAAAAATTATACTATTATCAATCAATAAACAAACAATCATAATAAAACAAATAGTAAATTATATTATATCTTCAGTGTTTTTATTAGATTACACTTAATATTTATTCATTATTTAAATCTACACTAAAACTTTTTAAAAGTTAAAAAAATGTTACTTTATTTTTCGATGCGCAAATCAATGTCAAATTTATTAACATATTTGTAACGACCCACCTAGTCAATACACACAACACAGTACACCAGAATACTACACAGAAACGAATAAGTATATACATATAGGATCTAGAATATATATATATATATATATATATACAAGGTCCAAATCTGTCTAGAATCAAAGTGTACAAAATACATCTAGCAAATGCTAACTAAGTAGCTAAATACATCAAAAGAATAAAATTCCATTTGCTAGCTGCAGACTCTCCTCAGCAACCACCAACCTAACCCTGCCATGCTCCCATACATAGTATGATCATCGCAGTCCAAACCACATGGAAACACAAAGGGTAAGCTAGTGAAAGAAACAACATACATATATAAATATATGAATAATAAACAGCTACAGCTATTAGCACATCAATCATCTCAACAACATCAGCTTAATATATATAACGGCACACCTTTCACATCATTCAGCAATAATAGCAGGGAGCAGCAGTACACAACAGTAAACACATAATGCGTCGTCACACATATAAGTTAGTATTGGTCGCTTGTAAGCGGTATAGCTCGACCTGGCCCCTATACCGTGGTCGCTTTGTACACGTGTGCCTCGACCTTGCCCACACACGGGACCTCTAAGACTTAGAGGAGAACAGCAAGGTACCACTCCAAGGGTCAACTTTCCAGGGAGGGTTTTCAACAAATTGGGCTCTAAGAGCACCACGGCCACTCAATCCACACAATGGGATGAGGAATTTCAAAAAAATCTCCTATAGTCTTAGTGATCAATAGCTCAGCCTTACGGCCTACAACAGCCCAGCCTTACGGCCTACAACAGCTCCTAACAGCACGGCTTACGGCCTACAACAACTCAGCCTCACGGCCTACAACAACTCAACGCAGCACATCAATATCAGCATCTAGCACAGCTAAGTGGTATACAACACAGCTTACTACTCACAACTCAGCTCAATAGTCTATAGTGCAACAATATTTTAATTCAACATGAAAATCATCAATAACAGCCCAGCTCAGCACAGCAATATACATCTATTACAGCTTAGCATCAATAATGCAACATAAACATTTCACAGCACATCAAAATCATCACTCAGCTCAACAACATTCATCATTAACAGCTTAAATCAGCATATAATTCGGCTCACAACAAAATTCAGCATTGGCATTATACAGCACAGCTCAGCGTTACATCATTAACAGCATATACAACATACAACATATTCAACACATAATACGACTCATCCACCTTGTTTACAACTCATCCATCTTGTCAAATTATCCACCCAAACAACACCAATCAACCTAAGCACCTAAAATAACTTACAACACAACTAACACAGCTCATCAATATAAATCTGATACGGCTCATCTCAGCAATAAACATCTAGTATAGCTCAACATCACAATTCTACATCCTCAACTATCATCAACACAACATATCATCTTACGGCACATCTAAACATCTTACAACAATATACATCTAACACAGCTCTACATCATCAAACAACATTTTCAGCTAGTCACCACATCATATTCATCAATTTCGGCTCATACTCAGCATAAAACAACCTCTAACAGCATTTAGTAAAATCTCATCTCCGCGCCCGACGCACTCATGATTGCGCCCAGCGCGGTACAACCAGAGAGCACCAGGGGGCCAGCGCACCCGGCGCAGGCGTGCCCGCGCCCAGCGGGACCCAGCCAGAGAGCCCAAGGCTCACACACGCTTGGCGCAATACCAATTGCGCCCAACGCATCCCAGGTAGAGACTCTAAGGAGTCTCACGTGCCCGGCGTGCCCAACCCCGCGCCTAGCGTGGAGAAGGTAGAGACCTCCTCAGGAACCTCTCGCCTAGCGCGACAAGGGTCGCGCTCAGCGTAGAAATCAAAAACCCCAAAACATGCTACAACTGGTATCGCGCCCAGCGCGGTCCAAATCACGCCCAGCGCGGACTAGCTAGAGACCCACATTCCCAAGCGCGCCTGGCGCACCCATCATTGCGCCCAGCGGGCTTGCCTAAATGGAGTCCCCTAGTAGCCACGCGCCCGACACGAAGAACTGCGCTCAGTGCGAAGCTCAGCAGCAACTCCAGCAAATTCAAAAATTTCACCCAACCCTGCAAAACAACCAGAAATCCAGCATGCAAACCAACCAAAAGACCACATTTTCAACAAGCATTATAAAAAACACTTCATTTTCAACATGCAACCATCAAACAAGTAAAATCCCCAAAATTTGCACCCAAACCCCGGAAAACCCGAGAACCAAAATCCCCTTCAATCACAGACAAGAAATCAACCACTTCAACAACTAATGAGTTGCCTGAACTCATTTGCATCAAAAAACAGCGAAGAAATCTAGCTTCCCTTACCTGAAGATTGGATCAGGATAGCCAAGAAGCAGAATTCCCTCTCCAAAGCTCAAACCGGGACTTCAATCCTTTAAAAGTAAGCTTTCTAGTCCAGAGCCCTTCTCTCTAGAACTTTTCTCTAAAAACCTCCTCTCCTCAATTGCCCACAACCTCAATTTATAGGCATTCCGGAGTGGCCATAACGGCTTGTACCGAATCCGGAACGACCCGTACTGCATCCCTTCATCATGTGCAAAAATCACATGCAGAACAGCCCGTTCTAAAATCAGAACGGCCTGCTCTCCATCCAGAACGGCCCGTACCCCCCTCCAGAACGGCCCGTTCTCAACAACGATTTACAGGTCATTTTAATAGCTTGGAACGGCCCGTTCCAGATTGGGAACGGCCCATTCTGGGCTACTAAAACACCAACTTGCTACGTCACAATATTCATATCACACGACTTTTAATGAATTTTTTCTTTCAAAAATATCTTTCACCTTCTCTATTAAAATCAATAACTTTTAAATAAATGCAACTTTAAGAAAATTTATATTTTTGGATTTCTAAACTAAAGAAAACTGATTGAGATTTTGGAATCGATGATCTAAAAAATTTAGCTAGTTGTTGCTATCCTCTATGACATAAAATCAATTCGATTTTATGTAGCATCTTTTTAATTTTTAAGAAGTTTTAATGTATATTCAAATAATAGAGAAATATTAGGTACAATCTAAAAAAAAATACAAAATATGTAAGTGTAACATCTTTTCAATTTTTAAGAGTCTCAATATAGATCTAAATGCAATCTTGAAAAAACATATTAAGTACAAGTATAATTTACTCTAATAAATTTGTATTATTAAACTGTATCAATTTTCATCCATTAAAATAAATTTGATATTAAAAATATTAAAATAATTCATACATCTTACTCAGTTAATTGAACAAAATTAATCTCTGATTGTCAGGCCTAGATTTTACCAATAATGTATAGGACCATAGTTTTATCATTTTCTAGTCGGTTAATTAATTTGTGGAATTTTTTTTTGGGACAAATTCTGAGCATGACTAATATATTTTAAATGTTAAATTGTTTGGACTTTAGTTGTGCATATAACTAAGGGTGAAAATAAGTTAGAGAGAATAGAATTTGTTAGGCTTAAACTTGGTCTTGATTGAAATTAAATGACTTGAGTTGGTACGTTTC